AGATGTTCTCACTTTTATCCCCCCCCATTAACAGATACAGTTCTCATCCTTCTCACCCTCCCAAAGTGCAGTAAGGAGCTCCCAGGGATCCATTAGGTCATTAAAAAAGCATCAAAAGGCCTATTCTCACAAGATCAAAGAAGAGTATATTGGATTAGATACCTATATAAAAATATACCTGTCTGAGCTTTTAGAGAAATGGCCAGGCTCACTTTTATCCCCCCCCATTAACAGATACAGTTCTCATCCTTCTCACCCTCCCAAAGTGCAGTAAGGAGCTCCCAGGGATCCATTAGGTCATTAAAAAAGCATCAAAAGGCCTATTCTCACAAGATCAAAGAAGAGTATATTGGATTAGATACCTATATAAAAATATACCTGTCTGAGCTTTTAGAGAAATGGCCAGGCCTAGTTTTGGGCTACAAAACACTTCTGTATCACTTGAGAGTCTTATTTGGACCAAAGTCAGGCAATGTGAAGAACTCTTAACTGTTTTGTAAAACCAACGAATTCGTTGGCTAAATTTAACCCATCCCTTCAGTCTCAGGTTCGTGGACATGAGCGAGACAGTTGAGAACAGAGGATAATTCTCTTCTGCAACAGCACTCAAAAGGCTTAATGACCATGACAATTAAAGTGTCAAAGCAGCTAATCTGCAGCATACAAAACTGGGCAATTTTGATTCTGAGAACTGCAGTTACCAACCTTAAAAGGACTTTGCTCTTCCATGAAATGAGTTTTTCCATTAAGGATTTCAAGGAGAGAGGCATTTCAGATTGCCTTTTTGTTTTTTTTGGAGTACTCACAAACTTATCCATGATGTCACATACAATGTATCTTTATACTGTGTTAACAGTATGTAATAATCACCTTGTTTTGTAGGGAATCTTGGGAGACCACTGGCTGACGAAAACATCGTGCGCACAGTACTTGAATTTTTGACTTACTTGCATCTGAAAGGTTAGTGAATACCTTTTAATCTTTCACAGTTTGTGCTGTGAAATTCACTGAGGAGACAAGACTGTCCTTGAATGTACACATCTGCTACAGGTTTGAGTGTGCAAGACTTTGCACATCACCTCTGGGGATGCACACACAACTGCAGGTCAACGAGTATCTGACGTAGGAGCTCGAATTCCACCCAGTTACTCTGGGCACTATGAGAATAACACCCACTGCTAAAAACTGTATGGAGCCAGCTTTCAGAAGAGCTGAGAACAAACTAATTACTGACTGATTATGTGGGAGTTACTATAAAACAATTCAATAACAACTTCAATAAGATTTTAGCTTAATGCCAAGAACAGTTGGTTAAAATCGTGAGACACCTGTGAGTAACGAAAGAAATACTTATCCCTTTTTCATGTGTTCTCCAATAAAGTTGCATCGTAAAATTGCAACAACACTAAGCTGAATGTTGTCAAACAGCTCAAAATGCTGCTAGTAAAAACCCTGTGGAGTCTCAAAATTGTGACAAGAATTGTAACGTTGAGCTTGTGGCTGATTCTGTAAGAATGGTAAGTTTATTGTAGAATTCACTGAAGAAATCTGGCTCCTTCTGAGCTGTCATTAGATTGACTTTTTTTTATAAGCAAATAGAATTTTTAGCTCTTAAGAACCTCCTCAGCCATTCTAAACTGTTTACAAAATGTCCAAAAGCATAATGTACAGTTGCAAAGGAAACAACAGGAAGAAAAAAGTTATTCTCCAAATTTCTGAGGATTTTTCTGTCTCAGAAAGCAAAGAATTCAATCAATCACTAACTTCTTTAATCTTACCTTTTGTATACAACAAATTATGAGCAATTTTGTGGCAAGTTTATGTTGTGGAACTGTGTGTTACATCTGTATTTTAATGTCACTATTAGAAGAGAATTTCAAGAGATTTGTTCTTTTTTTCTGTGTATCTAGGAGACAAAATTCTAGATCACTATGGCATCATTTTCTAAACCATTTGTATCCACTCAAGCAAAATAATCCTCATTGCTGAAAATTTTAACCTAATTGAATCAAATTTGCATTTGAAATAAAAAATTTTTATAGTTGGTACTAAGGGCCTGAAATAATTCAAATATGTGTTTAAATTGGATTATTAACATTTGTTTGTCCTGTGGACACACCAGTTTGTTTGTTGTGCCACTGTGAATAAAGAGCTGTTTCTTTTAATGGAAGACTAGACATGGCACTTGGTGGTCATAGGTTGGACTTGAGAGGTTGCAGTGATAGGACAAGGGTTAACTGGTTCAAGTTGAAGGAGGGGAAATTTAGGTTAGATATTAGGAAAAGGGTTTTCCCTGTGAGGGTGGTAAGATACTGGAACAGGTTGCCCAGGGAGGTAGGGGATGCCCCAGCCCTGGCAGTGTTCAAAACCAGGTTGGATGAAACCTTGAGCAACCTGGTCTAGTGGGGAGGTGTCCCAGCCCATGATAGGAGGGGTTGGGACTCTTCTTAAGAACCTCTCAGAGTTTGCAACATGAGTTAAAGGAAAGACTTAATCATCAGCTTTTTATTAGGATGCTTACGTAAACAGAAAAGGACTCCTTTACCCTGCTGTGAGAGCCTAGGAAGTAAAACCAATACTTGGACATGACAGCAAGGGTGTGAAACAAATTAAGCTTAAGCATGAACTCTATCAGTAGGCCACGAGCTGCTAAATTGGACAAGGAAATAAAATGCATCTCGCAGAAATACAAATCACTTCTTCCCTGAAACAAATGAGCACAAAAGGTTCTCTGTTTAAGATAGTGATGACAATCAGCCATTTTTATTCAGACAAGATGATGACATTATCTGTCGAAGGTTCTCTGTTTAAGATCATGATGACAAACAGCCATTTTTGTTCAGACAAGATGATGACATTATCTGTCCTTATCAGAAAAAAAAAGGAATCTCCAGATCATATAAACAGGTTTTTTTCCCCCTGAGATAGTTCCTGTGTTCCCAGGTATATAACACAGAATGTTATCACCCATTATCCCTTAACAATATTTATTGGCAAGACTGAGTCCAAACTCTTACACAAAGTGAGAACTGCAGATAGCAGGTGAGAAATATATTTTTAATGGCAGAGATGCTTTAACAATTTTGCTCAAATGAAACTATACTACATGGAAAATATTGGTTTAGATATGTTCCTTTGGTGGGGGAAGGAAGGTGAATCTCCCACTCATGGGATTCAGTTTTGCAGTTTAGACATATGTTTTGATCTGCAAGATCCAAGCAATATTTATCCTCTAAGAAGTATCTTAGTGGTAATTGCACATTTTCCTTCAGCTTTGAAAAGTGTTCTCTCCAGCTTTAAAAGCTTCCCATATGGAGCAGCCTGTAGGGTGGCAGCCAGAACTGGATAATATTAGCCCTTTTGAGATGCTGGGATCCAGCAATACCAATTGACATAATAAAGCTGTTGTAATTTATTTGCTGTTCTGTCACTTCTCCTTCTAAAATGTTGGAATTACAGCAGGAAGTTATTATTAACATCTAAAGGAAAAAAAGCCACTATTTTATGAAAAAATATTTGCTTCTTATAGTTGAGAGAAGAAAAAGATATTCAAAATTTATACTGCCCAAACTGGATTTCATTACTTAACTGTTAATACAAATAACTTGCATAGGTGTTGATTCTCTCTCTTTTTCTTTCCTATTTTTTTGCAGAGGTGGGAGCACTTGACAAGTTACCTTCACCAGAGGAAACAAACCAATCTTGAAGAATGCATTTTTATTTTGTTGTAGTGCAGATTCAGACTGAACTCTAAACAAAAGATCCAAATGAGCTGAAGCTTAGGAGCATTATTTGCATTAACCTGAGAAATGGTCGACAGCATTTTGCCCTCTGGTTTGTTTGTTTATTGGACTTTTTTTTTTTTTTTTTTGCTTTCATTTGGTTTTTTTCCCCTTCTCCTGCCATGTTCTAGTGTATCATTTTGTTTTTTTCCCCTCCTCCTGCCATGTTCTAGTGTATCATTTTGCCTTGGTAAAAATTTCCTGTAGGAAAATGACAAAATAAAAATAAAGAGCAACTCAATGGTTTCATTTTAGAATGAAGTACGTACTAGCACACAATGCATCGTTATACAAAGCCCAGGTGAAAAGGCAAGATTACATTGCACCTATACTCTGCAATATTAGAGTCAAATAAAACATAGATGCTATATATTGGGCACTTGAGCTAACAGAAAAAAGAACAGTGGCTTCAAAGTGCTGCCATGCAGTGTCCTTTTAGGTCAGAGATCTGCCTGTACTTTTGTGCTTCCCAGAAACCTGTTCATGTTTTCGTAGACATGAAATAAACTCATGTTCCCAACAAATTTCATGTTACTCACCTGTGACACACCAGCTCATTGGCTGAAGCAAATCAAACTGTTCTGTACAGGTTTACATGAATCATATGTGTAGGATTCCTACTGCTATGTCATCAGGACACTGGGTCTGTGCTCCTTGATGAAGAAACTTTTCTGTCTGTTCCAAGATCAAAAAGATATTTCCTGAGATGAGTCTGGCAAAGCACTTGGATCCATGCTTAATCCATGCAAAAGAGCTTTGATGTACTGGACCATCGTGCACAATAAATGTCACATCAAGACTGAAAAGGTTTGAGAGGATACAGAACCTTAGAAAGGTTTTTCACATTCAGATGACTTTCAGTCTCTGCACAGTGCCATGAAATATCATCCTTTCAAAATGCAGCCGTGCACCGAAGAGCACAGACAGAAATTTTGCAGACCTTTATTACATAATGTGTTTTTCACTTGTAGCACAGCAGAATGCATTCCAAATGCCAAGCCACTAGAGGCTAATTTGAACCCACAGGGCTATCTCACCTTGTCAGTCAGTCTGTGCTCTGCCTCTGATAATCACTCTGGTCTCATGGCTGATGTTCACTTTCCAAAGTGAACAAAGTACACTTTTCATCAGATCCAATGAGCTTCTGAACAAGCTCTTCACACAATGGTCTACTGAATTTCTTCTTAAGAGTAACAAAAAAAGGTCTACACTGCTAGGATACATGCTGCTACTTCAGCATTACGTGGTAAATTTATGGGCTTCCAAATGTGAAAAGAAGAACAGAGTGAAGTTTAACTTCTGTACATTAGTGTAGTTCAGCACGTTCAAACTCATTTTCACTAGTAATGTCCACATTTCCCACCATAATCTTGAAGTCCCACTAAAATCGAGGTATTGTTTCCATTGACTTGCATGGACTTTGTCTCCTTGACTGCTAAAACCCCCAGTATTCCTCTGAAGAACTCAACACCAAGTCATCTGTCAGTGGCAAAGCAGTTGAACCTATGATCAAATCAAAGGAACATCAGTTTAGTTTTGAATTTATTTTCTTTTGAAATAGGATAAGGAATTAGAAATAATAGCATAAAATGAGAAAACAGTTATTACTTCAATCAAATTAGCAAATCAAATTAGCATACCATCAGCTCATTAGGGTTGGAATGGTCCTGTTGGAGTGTTTATTTGAAATGCTGAAACTTGAGATTATTTGAAATAATGAAAATTTCATAGGATCAAGTCTTGGGAGATATACAGTGCTGGCTAAGCAGGGAGGCTCACAACTCTTACACTGTGCTGCACTGTTATATGCATAGATTATAAACCCCAGATGATTATAAACTCATTACCAAAAGCAGTTCCACAGACATGATGAGATGCTCACCATGAGCTGCAGTGTGAGCTCAGCCCAGAAAGCCAATGGAATCCTGGGCTGCATCCACAGGAGTGTGGGCAGCAGGTCAAGAGAGGTGATTCTTCCCCTCTACTCT